ACACTAAACCTCACAGAGCCCGGACGTCAGTGAATTTGATTTTCAAGTATTTCCTGCGAGGGAGGCTCGGCCCTGAAAGCCATAAGTCTTTTAGGGTTTTAGGGTTTGGGGTTTTGGGGTTAGGGGTTCAGGGGTTTAGGGTTTAGGGTTTATTAGGGTTTAGGGGTTTTGGGTTTAGCGTTTAGGGTTTCGGGCTTTAGGGTTTTAGGGTTTAGGGTTTAGGGCATAGGGGCGTTGGGGTGTATTTGGGCCTTTGGCTTCAGCCCCGGATAAGGCCGCCGCAAGCCTAGCGGGCATGGATGCTTTCCCACTGGGGCACATTCGAAGATGAACGTGATCAGGGGTAGGGTTTAGGGTTTAGGGTACGGTCATGGATGCTTTCTCAAAAGAGCTCAGGCAAACCTGGATGTTATGAGGGGTGCAGGCATGCATGCTTTAACAATCGGACACATCGGATCAGGGATAGCGGTGCGGACATAGGTGCTTTCCCACTGGGACTTAAAGTTACTAGTGTTGCCGAAAGCACCAGGGGCCGGTGTGAATGTCAGCATCAAGGACACTTACGGATATGTGTCGCAAAAAAACGCAGTACGGGAGGCCCCTCAGTGAGCAGAACCCTTCGGGACAAGTCATATGTGAGAGATACAACTTTGAGGCTTCAGGCCTTTGGGTTTAGGGTTGTAGATTGTAAGTTGAGGGTTTCAGGTTTTGGGTTCTAGTAGGGTTTTAGGATTTAGGTTTGGGGTTTAGGGCTACACCCCGTGCCGCAGGAACTTCGTATTCGTTCTTCTCTACAACTTCATTTGCACCGGTGTGGAAGCGCCTTCACTGCATTGGTGCATGCTTCTCGGTTGTCGTTTCCGATTGCGTTATCTTTACAGAGATCCCAGGACGAAAACCCTGAACCCCAACCCTGAGGCTCAAAATAGCCCAAAAGCCTTATGTAGTATGACCTGTGGGCCCAAAAGCCATATAATACGAGTCCTTAGAGCCTTAGGGTAATTGAACAGCCTTCAGCTCGGTCGTCCTACGCTCTCGAGCGATCTTCCTCCTATGCCCGCAACCACGCGGCGATGTGGAATGAGTGTTGGCCTACGCTTCACACTGAAATTCCCAAGCCCTATACCCCAAGGCCGTAAACCCAAGAAGCCTAAACCCCGAAAAGCTTGGCCTGAGATGCCGAGGTGTTCGATGACGCGAGAATGATAGCCCTGTCCACGAAGCTTCGGATCTAGACCCTACCCATAGGCTCCTAAGTAGTTCCTTTTTTGGGAGTACCTTATAGGTTTCTGAATATGAACCACAAAAAGGAACTACTTAGGGGCCTATGGGTAAGCTCTACACTTAAGCCGGAAACGTGGTAAACTAAACCTTACAGCTTCACCCTTAGCTGAAATCCTATGCCCTAAATACTAAACCCTAGGCAGTCCCCGCATTCCTGAAGCACTAAACCCTCAAGCTACCCCACACCCTAAACCCTATTGAAGCCCAATCGCTAGCCCTGAAGCCCGTCGGAGTCAATCTGCTGTCTTCCTTGGTAGTATTAGGGAGACCCCTTAAAGGGGACCCTTCTTAACCCTACTTATGGCTCTCTTTAAAGGGACCTTATTGAGAGGGTCTATATCCCCAAGGGTTCCCCTAATCCTAACTCCCTTGTCTTCAGGTGCATATGCCCTAAAGCCTAAACCCAAAGCTCTAAACCCTAAATCCTAGACCCTAAACCGTCTTAAGGTGCATATGAACTTGCTGCATTCAGAGGAGGGGGAGGAGGCCGAGAATTCTCTGGGGGTTTCGTGACACGGTCTGGCGCACCATCATGTTTGTACCCATGGGCTCCACAGTAGTTCCGTTTTGGGATTATCTTAAATATAAGCCACAAAAGGAACTTCTATGGAGCCTGTGGGTAAACCCAACGGTTTTGAACAGTCCGCCTCAAACCCTAAGCCCTCAAGCCCTGAATGCCTTACGGAAATACGTAAGGGGGTGGTTTCAGTGTTCTGCACCTCGCCCCCAAAAAAAAGAAGAACTAAGCCGTCTCTGAACCCTTAAGAAGGTTTGAGCTTCCTAAACCCTAAGCCCTAAAACCCTAAACCCTAAACCCTAACTTCGATCCCCCAGCCCTAAAACTCGGAACCCCAAAACCCCTAGCCCTCAAGACCCCTGAATCCCGATGCTCATCCTGCAACTCGAAGCCGAAAGCTCGAAACCTTGGGTTTAGGGTTTAGGGTTTAGGATCAGGCCCCAAGCCCTAAAGTAAACTTAGGGTTAGGGGCAACTACCCCGAGCTTGAAACCCGAAGCCCTTGTCCTAAGACCTTCGGCCAAGGTCAGCCCTTCTAGAACCCGGTGAGGAGCCCGAAACCTAGGTCCCTTTTTAGGGTCCCTTACTAAAACCGAACAGTAGGAAAAAGGGTACCCCTTATTATAAAGGGGCTACTCAAACCCTAAACCCTAAACCCTAAACCGAACCAAAACACAGCAACCCCAACCAGCCATTTCGGTCTAAGGCTGAAGGGAGTCTCCGGGGTTTCCGGGTTCTGGAAGTTAGGGTTCAGGGTTTTAGGGTTTTTGGGGTTTAGGGTTCAGGGTTTTAGGGTTTTAGGGTTTTGGGGTTCAGGGTTCTGGGTTTTAGGGTTTGGGGTTCAGGGTTTTGGGGTTTTTGGGTTGAGGGTTCCAGACTTCAGGCGTAACTCCTAAGCCTCTCTAACCCTATATCCGAAACAGCCTAGGGTTCAGGGTTTTAGGACTTTGGGGTTCATGCCTGGGTTCGGTTCAACACAGGTACGCTTTCCAAGGAGTGCCAAGTGGGTCAAACTTTAGGGTTCAGGGGTTTAGGTTTTAGGGTTCGGGGGTTTAGGGTTCATGGTTTAGGGCTGCTTTCCGGGGCAATGGGACATGAGGTGAGTCCGCGCACATATATAGTACAATGCAATCGACCTCAAGAGAGTATATATACATATATGTATAATATATATATATAGAGGACTTTAAGGCCAAAGTATCTACGAGATGGGTGCGTGAATCCCGGGAGTCATGAGAAGAATGAAAGAGAACGCCGACCTCGCCCAACCGAATCCTAGGGGCTCTGGGGAACTGAAACCTCTATAGCCCAAAGGGTTTAGGGTTTAAGGTTTTGGGGAGCCCAAAGGGTCCTGTCTACCTCGACGGTAGATTGTAGGGGTTTCTATGTTAGGAAGTGCCATTATACTTTAGGGAAGTATCCCCTGTAACAGAACCTGGGACCCTTTGGGTAAGGGTTCTATGTGGGTTGCAAGAGGTTTTAATTGCGGTTTAGGTAAGTAGAATCAATCCGAGCTCTATGGCAATGGGATTTAGGGGTGTAAGGATTTATACCCAGATCTTCCAATATCCCACGATCAAGGAATAGACCTTGCATCATTCTCCATCATACTGGGGATCCTTTTGCAATTAGGTTGCAAGTTCCTTACCCTAAACCCTAAACCCTAAACCTTCCTTAATGAAAGGCTCTCGGAAGATTTGGGTAAACTTTACAGCCCTAAACCCGTTTAATGCGTGCTACTGCTGATGATGTAAATCCTGCAGTACCTTGAGGACCACCTATACTATGCGAACTAGGGAGAATTGATTCCATATTCCATATTATGTGTAATGCAGGATTTATACCATCAAGCGTACAAACCCTGCCTCCGAAGCCTGCACAGTCCAATTTAGGGTTTAGGGTTTAGAGCTTAAGGTTTAGAGTTAAGGGTTTAGAGTTTAGGGTTTAGAGTTAAGGGGTTAGGGTTTCGGGTTTATGTAAACCCATAAGACGACCCAAGTACCCCATAATCATACACTCTTCTGAATGCTAACCTGCAAACCTACTATCCGTAACCCAAGTACATGATTACTAGGTCCTTTTTACCCTGAGGGTACAGCCTCAATCTCTTTCGTCTTGTATAGTATGGTCTTTGGGCCCAAAAGCCTTAAACAATATGAGTCCTTTGAAGGGTCAGGGAAATGGATCCCTGTCATCGCCTGTGGATTTCGCATAAGCGACTTCAGCTTGGTAGACTTGAGCCAGGACGTATCCTGGGCTCTTCCAGGGTTCCATAAACTAAAGGAAACTACAGGTGGGGAGTTTAGGGTATATAATAGGGCTTCCATAAGGCTTCTATAAGGTATATAGACCTTCTAAAAAGCTCCTATAACGGTAACTTTCCACCTGAAAATGTCCTAGAATAAAGGCTCTTAGGAGGGTGCCACTAAGCGTTCCTATAAGCAGACAAAATACCAAAACATAAATCCCTAGCAAATCCCAATAACACCTTAAAACCTGCACGCCCCGTTTCATTCGTAGAACCCCTACAACACTGTAGCAAGAAGTAGAACTTCAAATCGAAGTGTCGCGCAGGCCACTCAATGTTGCCGCAGAGATCTTCTCCCTCCGGTCCAGCGAACCTCATCGGTCAAAGTGAAGCCCATAAACCTGACATTAAGCTTAGAAACCACAGTATAACATTCATGGGGACACTCCCCAAAGAGAGCTCTTGGTTACCGGCAGCTTCTAAGGAGCCAGACCTTAAGTCTCTAAATCCTGGACCCCTAAACACGCATGTTCCTTAATACTGATAGGCTCCATCGTAGTTCCTTTTTGGGGATTACCTTATAAGATCCTAAGTATGAACCCCAAAAAAGAACTACTATAGAGCCTATGGGTACTGATAATCATTCAGAGAGCAGTCTTTAGGGACCTGTTCCTTGACACTGCCTTGTAATCAGACACCCAACAATAGGGTTTACGGTTTGAGTTGAGGGACCTCTACCGAAAACCCATGTCAAAACCCCTCGAAAACCTGGTATAAGACTGCCGAACAGAGATCAAGGACCCCAAACCCCAAACCCCCAAACCATGAACGCTCTATAAACCCTATAGTGAGCCAATTTATGCTGGGATTCCCATACATTACTCTTAAGGATTAAGGCTATTGGGTTTCCCACTTTCGGGCTTCTACTATAAGCCCTACACTTCCAAGATGCTGTAGGAACCCAAAGGTGTCCGGATTGTGCATGTAGCGATGGCCCCCCACAGGCTGCCAGACCCACTCCCAGTAGCAACTCCACTGATCCGCACCCAAAAGAGTCGGCTGATCCTTCGGCGCGTGCAGATGCTTAGGGCCCTTAGGGCTTCGGGTTTAGGGTTGAGGGGTTTAGGATTTAGGGTTTAGGGTTTGGGGTTTGGGATTTAGGGTTTAGGGTTTAGGGCTTCGGGTTTAGGGTTTATAGGTACGTAGGGTAGTTTAGGGTTTTGGGTCACGTCTGTGCTGCAGTAGATGTGATCCAGGGCTGCTACTGCTGCTGCTTCAACTCCTGCTATCGCTGCTACTGCTGCTTGCGGGTTGGAGTGACATAGCCATATAGTCGAGTGTCAGTAGACTTAGACCACTGCTGCAGTTGGTTCATTGTCAATTCTGTAAGTACTATGCGAGTCGTTGTACCCATGTAGTGTCTTCACCGAAATGCGACGAGTGGTCCATTCATGAGAGTGAAGACAGGGACAGAACCTTGTATAAAGAGCTTGAATCAAAACTGCCAGGCACGACGTTGTGACCTTCTTCTGCGGGTCCTTCTGGATGGACGGACAGAGCTGTCCAAAGAGGGACGAGTTCGACGTGAAGAAGGGGTGCTCTGCACGGGAGAAGTCCACCGACCAATACTTCGCACCAGCATTCGGATCGAACCTCTCAGGGGGCAGATGTTTGATCACATAATAACTTCCATAAGTCTATATTCACCTCTAAACTCCAAAAACCAGAACCCAAAACTCCAAAACCCTAAACCCCAGAGCCCTAGACTTAAACCCCAAAGCCCTAAACCCAAAATCCCAAAACCCTAAACCCTAAACCTTTTAAACCCTAAACCCCAAAACCCCAAAGCCAGACCCCCCGGCCTCTCAGCCAACGAGGTACCTTGACCTGCTGAGAGGAGACCACCAATGCCATCGGCAGGGTGCAGGGGGAAGGCGATCTCCACCTAAGTTTTAGGGTTAAGCATGGAGACTCCAATATTCCTGAATTCAGGAAGATACCTTAGATCTGATTGGGGTTCCTATTTGAGGTTGAGTTCAGGGTTTAGGCTTGTCCCATGGCTTACCCTAAGGCTCTTATCGCTGTTTTGGGCTTTCTAGGGGAAGGTTTGGGCTTTGGGGGCTAAGGTTTGAGCTTAAACCATGGGGGTCCATGAGCTTTAGGGTAAGACCTCAAACCCGTAGACCTACACTCTAAACCCTAAACCCATAACACCATTAAGCCCTCCCGCCATAAACCCCAAACTATGTACTGGTAGCACCCATACTCACCCAAAGGCTCTAAGGACTTATATTATAAGGCTTTTGGGCCCAAAAACCATACTATGTGAGGCTTTTGGGCTGTTTTGAGCCTTAGGGTTAGCGCTCATGCTCCGGGTTCCTGGAGTGGCGTGCAGAGTTAATGTGTGTGGGTTTAGGGTTTAGGGAAATAGCAGAAGCTCAATGGCCGACTGAACCCTGAAGTCTAAGCCCCTAGCCCCTAACTCCCTAAACCCCCAAAGCCCTCAAACCTAAGCCCTAGACCCCATAAGCCCTAAGCCCATAACCCCCAAAACCCTAAACCCCTAAACTTAGCCCTAAATCGCGGTAAATGCTGACCACCGAGCGACCGTCCATCCCTTTGTAGCCCAGCCCTCCGCCCTGGCAGTAGCTGTCTTCATGTTTGGATACATCCTCGGTTGGCTGAAACTTGCGAGAGTTTCAGAAAGGTGTTGAGAGACAGGCAGAGATAGAGACAGAGAATAGTATACTGAAGGGTCCTTAATAACCGGAATAGGGTTTTGCGGTATGTAATACTATATCTACAATAACAAAGAACCCCCCCCCAAATATTATTGGTAATTATTTAGGCCCCTAGATTAATGTAAGAGCCGGAAGTTTCGCACGACCCTTGCCTTAGGGCTCTTCATTATCAATGCTTGCTTGCCCTTGTACACATTTTCTGCAAATGTATAGGTCGTCCTCTTGGGGTTTAGGGTTTAGGGTGGAGTCCTCTGTTTCGCTTCGTCGACACATCCACCCCGATGCTCTCTTCTAATTACTACGGCCGCTGCGTTACAAAGAAGCACGTCCAGGCAGTTTTTCTTGCTCAGGGAAGATGTGAGAAGCAAGTGGCAAACATGCAACATCAAGATCCTGCCTGCTGGTGCTCCTGTGTATCAGCAATGTCCGACAAGTGTATGCTTGTCCACATATATACATATATATATATGTATATATATATATACACATATTCTATATATATATATATACATATATATATATACACATACAACTTATACTTATACACATAGATAGGTGGCTTTATAACAACTCTTCAGCCGTTCACCGAAGCTAGAAAGCAAGACGTTGAGGCCAGCATCGACCATGTCCCACCGAAAGGTGGCCAGGATGAGTTCTGGCAGTACCTGGATCGGTTTAGGGTTTAGTGTTTAGGGTTTAGGGTCTAGGACTTAGGGTTTAGGGTTTAGGGTTTCTTCTGCAACACAAAGAGGGCCAACGAACCGCCAGACCCAACAAAGGGGTTGAAAAATAGCTAGAACAAGGTTTAGGAGCATGATATACTATCGAATTACGCAGGCACTATAAGCGCATACTATTTTAAACTTTCCAGGGTGCTCTACTAAGACTCTACTAATAGCTAGTTCCTATACAAAGCTGTCATGTCATCACTGCCCCCTCCTTACTGCAGTCAGCGAGGTCGAGCCCGAACTGTCTACATTAGTCGTTGTGTCCATCTTGCGCTTTGGATCGCTTTGGCTATTTTTTGGTGGTGGGTGTTGACCTAAGGCCTAAACCCTAACCCTAAACCCCAAACGCCCTAAACCCTAGACACCTCAATCCCTAAACCCTAATCCCCTAAACCCCTAACCCCCCAAACCCTAAACGCTAAACCCTAAACCCTTAAACTCTAAACCCTGAACTCCCCCAAGCTTCCAAAAAGCCCTGAGCTCCCACCTCTGGCAAGATGAGTCGGTGATGGAACAGCATGGAACTCCCGTGGAGCCCAATCCGCCATCCGGCACGCGCCAAAGCACATCATAGGTGGCGTTGTTGAAGTTCATTTCCTATGCTCATGACGTCAGGTGGAAACTCTCTCTCTCTCTCTATCTCTCTCTCTCTCTCTCTCTCTCTTAATAAACATCAACAAATCAGCAAATAAATAAATAAATGTATATATATATACACACACAAACACAGCCATTAAACATTGTATTCTGTATAACTGTGTTGCACGAAGATACTTATCACTTAAGGAGATACTTCATCAGCTGTGCCACTGGGAATCAGTGCAATTGCTGCTGAACTTGCCTAATCTAAACTAAACCCTAAAGAGAAAGCGTAGCCGTCTGTCGGGAAAGCATCGAACTCCTTGTACCAATGGTTTGTGCCGGCAACATCGATAAAGACTTCGAAGTCGTTGTCGTAGTACCTCCACTCATAGGGACCCTTAGGGGGGTAAGGGGAGGGGGGAGGGAGGGTAGGGGGAGGGGGGGGTTAGGGGACTGTACTTCCCGAAAAAGGAGCGGTGCTTTACAGGGATTATTAAGGCCCCTTAGCCCCTCCCCCCCACCTTCCTAAGGGTCCTTATGATTCACTGAAACCCTAAACCGAAATGTCGGCTGAATGGTCGGCTGCCCACCATAACTGCAACCAAAGGCGCCAGCACAATTCTCACCCCTAAACATTAAAGCCCCTCCCAAACCCTTATTGACCCTACCCCTTAAACCATGCTCAATGCGCACCGTATCGTTCTAATCTCTTGCAGGCTCTTAAATCCGAATCTGAACCCGCAAACCCTGAACCTGACGGCAAAGCCTTATAGACCCTACCCCTTAAACCCTGAAGCCCCAAACACAATCCCAGAAAAGCCGTGTGTTGTTGATCCTTGGAGCCAGGGCACGGGACGTTGCCTTACTTGAGTTTGGCAGGAAAGGACATTTACAGGTTAATTCATGGTCAATGGCTTGGGATTTCACCGGCTGGGTTGGTTTAGGGTTTACTTGGAGGTTCATGGGTAGTTATAAGTGGGGTTATAAGTAGGGTAACTCTAGTTATAACCCATATTACAGGACTTATAACCCCACTTATAACTACCCATGAACCTCCAAGTAGGGTAAGACTTGTTTACAGGATGACATGAAACCTACACGGTTCTGGTGTTGTAGAGTAATGTAGGGGCCTGAATAAATAGAACAGGGTTTTGAGGGTTCCTTACTATGATTAGAGCATAATATACCCCAAACCCCATTCTAATTATTCAGGGCCGTTATGCAGATCAGGTTGTCAAGACGGCTTGGTGCTGTGAAAAGACCGTGACAAACTAAAGTCAAATGGGCACCGGGGGCATACATTAGTTTCATTAGTTGATCCCGTTCATCCAACAGCAGTTGAGGTTCCTTGACGAAGCTTATGAAGCCACGATGGTCGCAACACAAAAATTAAAACACAACCCGACCCTATAAACTCATAACCAAAGAGGGGTTTCCGAAAATAGGGGACCCTAACATAGTACCGTAAATAGTATAAGGTACCCCTAATTTCAGAAACTCCCAAATAAGGGGCTACTGCAGAAACCGAGCTGCTGTTTCCGATGGGGTTCGTACTGGTCAGGCTCGGGTTGGATCCGCGCACGAAGCCGTGTTCCACCCAGGGTTCGCCGACGAATGCTCCGACGTACCTGAATGAAACCTCAGACCCCGAAGCCTACATAAGGAACTCTTCCTGTTGAGGGATTCCATATCCGGGGGAAAATATACAAGGGTCGTATATCCCTAGGGCTCTAAGGACGCGTATTTTTAAGGCTTTTGGAACCAAAGACCATACTACTTAAGGTTGTCGGAGCCATTTTGAGCCGTAGAGATTCCTAAACCCTAAACCCTAAACCTCAAACCCTAAACCCTAAACCCCAAACCCCAAACCCCAAAACCCAAACCCTAAACCCCAAACCTTAAACCCTAAACCCTAGCTGCGTGGTATACTCCCCGGAACCTGGAAGCCCCCGGCTGAGGTGCTCATGAGCTCTACAGCCTGACCTTACTTGGAGGATCATGGGACTATAGGCACCTTAAACTACTCAGAAGTAGGAATTTAAACTACTTAGAAGTATGGATATAGGCACCTTAAGCTGCTTAGAAGTACGGATATAGGCACATTAAGCTACTTGTAAGTAGAAATATAGTATTCTAACCCTAGTTACTAAGTCCCAAAATCGTTTAAGCACAGTAAACCCCCAAACCCAGCGCTGCCCTCAGCAATGTCGAAGCCCCTAGAACCCAGAGACCACAGACGAAAACCCGAGCCCTTGTAGTGCCCCAATAGAACCCTTCTAGGAATCCTTGCACGATCCCTTGAAGGAGACCTTATAGGAATCCTTACAAAATTACAGGAACCTTAAATTTCGAAGCAAGCGGCAAGTACTCCGCATCCCAGCGCACTTTGACGTGAGTAGCGAATTGAGATGGCAACAGGTAGTCCGGAAAGAGAGGTTGCGCAATGTCTTTGAAGGCAGTTGTTGTAAATGGCACCTCCTCCCAAACAGACTCATTCAGGTTGCCATCAATCGTGATCGATTGTCCATCTGCAAGCCGTCTGGCAACATATTGGCTCGGATAGGCGTCCAAGAATAGGAAACCTCGTCCTTCTTGCGGCACTTGCAGCAAATTCACCGAGTCATTCGGTCCACACTCCGCTGCGTCTGTCGCCTTAGAGAGCACCTTGCCGCAGAAGAAGGCGATCACAGAAAGTGCCGGGAAATAGCAGCCACCCGCCATTTGAGCAGATGCGTCTGCAACAGCACTTAAATTGCTCTAACCCATCAGTTTGGGATATATATACACACACACATATATATATAATATATATGACTGAAAAGGCATGAAGTTCCAGGAGCCCAACATGAAGACGGCTCACCTGCCCTCACCAGGACGTGGTTAGGTAATATAATGGGCCTTAATCATTAGAGTAGGGTTCTGGGGTATACTATACTCTAAATCGACTAAGGAACCCCCAGAAAGAAGTATTGGTAATTAGGCAGGCCCCCCAAAAGTAACTCTTGGCTGAGTACATGTTGACCCTGGTCACCAAATGTAAGCTAGGCAGCGACTTGATCAAAAGACGCGGGTCGCACCACCATGCCCAGGCATATAATTACTGTTGCGAGACAAGCCATGCGCAGCCACGCGAAGCATCTCATTAACTTTTGCCTAAACCCTATATGCCCTAAACCGTTGCATTCAGCGGCCCTAGCACGGCTCAGAGCTTCTGACGCCCAGACTCGCGATCCTGCTGCTAGAAAGCGTGGTTGAGTGATAGTGCCTCTGGGTCCCATATTTAGGGTTTAGGGTTTCCCATACATCACTATACTTACATGAATACAATACCGGAACCCAGCGTGCCGGGAACAAGCCGTGCAAGCATGCGCCGAGTCACGTGTCACCGCAGTCATCCGTGTGCTCGGCTTGTTGGTAAGTGCCTGAAGGAGAGCTCACCCTACACCCCAAACCCCAAACCACCTAAATAACCCCTCCTAAAAGTTGAACTTTTAGCCGAGGTATTCTATGTCATTTAAAATCCCAAAAACTAAAGTCCTAAGAGCCAACCAGAAGAACGCCAAGCTATTTTGGGCTGCTTTCAGGGCTTTTCAGAGCTCGGGCCGACCGAGGCACGATCGTGCGTCACGTTGATTTGATCGTGAGTGATGCCTCCGATCTGATCCGGGCAATCCGCAATGCGATTGACCTCCAGCTCCACATGCGGACAAGTGCTTGTGGGTCAGGGACGATACAGTTTCTGGAGTTTGCAGCGTGTCTCTCTCCTTTATACTGTGCTATGCTATGCTAGGGTTTCATGTGATAAACTTTAAGATGAGGTACGAGACGATACTACACTATCCTAGGCTCGACTAGACTAGACTATACTATACTACACTATACTTTTCATGTTTTACTATAGAATGATGGTTATAGTATTAGCATAGGTAGTTTTAATATATAGTTGTTTTTTGTATGTACGCATGCATGCATGAATGTATGTATAAATGTATGTATGTATGTATGTATGTATGTATGTATGTATGTATGTATTAATGAATGAGTCTATGTATGCATGTATGTATGTATGTATGTATGTATGTATGTATGTATGTGTGTATGTATGTACGTATGTATGTATATGTCTGTATGTATGTACGTATGTATGTACGTATGTATGTATGTATGTATGTATGTATGCATGCATGTATGCATGTATGCATGTATGTATGTATGTATGTTTGCATGCATGCATGCATGCACGTATGTATGCATGTATGTATGAATTTCTGTATGTATGTACGTATGTATGTATGCTTGTATGCATGTATGTATTTATGCATGTATGCATGTATAAATGTATATAGTTAGCACATGTGTGTATGTGTGTATATATATAGATAAATACACACATACACCATATGTATCCGGATTATCCCTGGCTCCTATTAGTTCGGGCGAACGGAAAGCCACCTGCAGCTCAAGCATGCATCGGGCCTTAGGCTTCGAGCTTTAGGCAAGGAGACATCACCAAGCCTTCCCTGAACCCTACCCAAAAAACCGTTCCACCTCTCACAACTCAAA